CAAATAGAAGATGAACTGGGTAAGAAATCCTCTGCACAAACTTTCCTTTGTGTGCTGGGGAAATACGCTTTCAATGGTCGACAACCTTTAGGAAGCCGTTTATGTTCACAAGAAATAAGATGTGCCAACTTTAATTTGCCAAGGATTTCGTTCTGAAGCCAATCTTAAGGTGGAACTAAGTGATTTTTGCAGACGGGTCCATATTTAATATCAATGGGTCCAACGGAAAGCAGCGGGAATGGCGTATGCCGAATAATCCGCTTCAAAAGAAACTTTTTATTCCTACATTTAGGCCTGTATGTCTGACTCCGGAGTCGGGAAATTGGTTTTCAGGAAAGAATCATGGATAAGAATATGTACCCCGCCATATTGAAAACTAATTTGCTCCAAAGTACGAATATGGTAGGTTTGGGGATCTTTTTGGATTTAGCTATTAGCAAACGGCAAATTTAAAACATAAAGAACGCCATTTTGGAAGAATGGCAAAAAACACCATTAGAAACTACAAACAAATTTCAGGCTTCTATCAACACCCATTTGAAAATCCTTATCCAATATAAAAATAGCTAAACCAAATATTAACTATTAATTTAAAATACATTTTTGTTAAGTATGAAGCCACTACACGAAATAAGCTGTGACCTAAAATTGTCGTGCTTTTTTAGGTTTTGTTATTTTTTATTTAAATATTATTAATAGAAAACAATGCAATCCCTTTTAAAATATTTATAAGTTATCAACAAATTGGCGTTTAAATTTTTGGCTATTGTTCATATTTTGTCTGTAATGGCATTTCAAAGTAAATTTTTGCGCCTGTACGAAATAAGCTGTCACTCACTGTATGTCAACACAATTTTCAATGCAACTTCAAAGATTAAATATGGCGGATTGCAGAAATATATACATTTCGTTAATAATCTATTTCTTCTACTAAATATAACGCAAAGTTGATTTCCGTCCCAGATGGACGATTTATAATTTTGCTCTGTGTATATACATACAGTGGACAAAAAAGGTTTACATACACTTTGGTTTTAAAAAATACTCGATTAAATTAATAACTTTTCGAACAAAAAATGAGCCCAAAGTCTTCAGATTATGATTGGATTTATATTTATTAACACAACAGCACTTTTCCCTTACCTATCGGATTAAAAACAAGGAAATATGATTGAAAATACAAAAAAAAACTGAAAAATTCACGCCAAAAAAGTTTACGTGCAGCAGCCAAATCTTAGCTAAATTTTTATATTTTAAGTATACAAGGTGCAATTCAAAAGTTCCAGGACTTTTATTAAAAAACGAAAACTATTTTTTTTTTTGAAAAATTTATTAGTCGCCTTCAAAATAGTCTCTTTCCGCCTGAATACAACGTTTTGCACGTTCAAGAAGGTGATCGAACGACTTTTTTAGGTCATTTGTCGGTATAGCGTTGAGGATGGCGGTCGCCGCCTGTTGGATGGCATCAACGTCAGCATAGCGGTTTCCTTTCATGGCCAAATGTACAGTGAAACCAACAATTATTCGTACACTCTTTACTTTTGACTTTAAAGGCCTATATCTTCGCTGTTATTTATAATACACAACAATTTTTAATTTCAAATGAACACTTAATATTTATATTTTATATTTTAAAAACAATAACAATTTCATAATCGGTAATGGAAAAAACTTAATCTAATCAAAATAAGGCAGGTTTTTACGTCCATAAATTATTCGTACACTTTGTGCCTTATCATGTTTTCTCATCGCATGTAACTGTAATTGGCAATTCTTTTTAAGGAATTTCGTTACCGTCGCCAGCATTCAGCATGTACATTAGTTTTCATTCATTCTTCTTTGATTTTTAATTAGTGTTGAGACGAATTTTGATTGATATAGACGCAATGGGGCGAGGAAAGGATATTTCACTTGATATGCGTAAACATATTCTTAAATTGTATACAGAAAATTATTCTCTTCGCGCCATTGGCAAATTAATCGACAGATCACACTCTTCTGTACAAAGTATAATACAGAAGTACGGGAACACAGGGAGTTTGGGTACAAATCATAAACAAGCTGGGAGACCAAAAATTCTAACACAGCGTGATGAGCGAAATATAGTAGCTGCTGTTGTCCAAAACCCAAAAATAACCACTTCAGAACTATCCAAAAATATTGAACAGTGTAGCAACAAACAAGTGTGCCACCAAACCATACGCAATTGCCTATACAGTGCTGGTTATCATGGAAGGATTGCACGGCGAAAGCCATTCATTTCGGCGGTTAATAAAAAAAAGAGGCTGGAATTCGCCAAACTGTATTTAAATGAACCAGATTCGTTTTGGGAAAACGTTATCTTTAGTGATGAGTCCAAATACAACATTTTTGGGCACGACGGCCCTCCCAAAATCTGGCGAAAAGCGAATGAAGCCATGAAAGAGAAAAACATTATTCCCACCGTCAAGCATGGTGGAGGAAATGTAATGGTTTGGGGATGTATAGCTGCATCTGGACCTGGAAACATGGTGTTCATAGATGAAAAAATGGACAAGCACATTTATAAAAGTATTTTGGAGAGAAATTTACATCCAAGTGCCACAAAGCTCGGGCTCGATCCCAAAAAATTCTTCTTCCAACAAGACAATGGCCCAAAACATTCATCATATTTGGTACAAGAGTGGCTGATATATCACTGCAAGCAGCTTAAATCTCCACCCCAATCACCAGATTTAAATCCCATAGAGCATATATGGGAATTGCTTGAGAGGAGGATACGGAAGCACAATATAACATCCAAGGAATCCTTGAAAGCCGCATTAGTTTCTGAGTGGCAAAAAATTGAACCAAGAGAGACCAATAATTTGGTGAAGAGCATGCACCGGCGCTTACTAGCCGTTATTAAGGCCAAAGGCGGGCCTACAAAATATTAAAATTTAAATAAGATGTAAATTTAAGAAAAATAATTTGAAAACAATTAAGTGTACGAATAATTTATGGACGTAAAAACCTGCCTTATTTTGATTAGATTAAGTTTTTTCCATTACCGATTATGAAATTGTTTGTTATTGTTTTTAAAATATAAAATATAAATATTAAGTGTTCATTTGAAATTAAAAATTGTTGTGTATTATAAATAACAGCGAAGATATAGGCCTTTAAAGTCAAAAGTAAAGAGTGTACGAATAATTGTTGGTTTCACTGTAGTTTTCCGAAAATGTAGAACGCACTGACGATGATTTCGGCTGATTTTTGACGAATTCACGCACTGTTTTGATGGCATTTTTGATGATCACAAATTTTGATTGGCCCACATGTTGATCGTCATTTATGTCCTCACGACCACTTTGAAAACGTTGAAACCACTCGTGCACTCTGCTACGGGATAGGCAATCATCGCCATAAACTTGTTTCATCAATTTCGGTAAAAGTTTTACCAATTTTAAAACAAAATTTAATGTTGGCTCTTTTTTTCGAAGCTCATTTTCCGACCGATAACACAAACATACTGACACTTAAAACGCAATAACTTCACTTCCAATCGATGAAATGTCATGAAATTTTCACTGGACAATCGATAAAGATAGCAGATTCTAACGCACCAGTCGACATATAGATAGTGCCACCAGGGGGCGCTAGCTTCAAAAAGACCTGTTTACTTTGAATTGCACCTTGTATTAGTAATTAGTTAAACTTTTTTCGCAACAATTACAGTTTGTAACCGTAGAGGCATACTTTTCATTGAAACTTGGATGTCGTTTTCCAAATTTTTCTCCGACCTTTTCGATAATATTGTCTTTAGGGAATCCTTCGACATAATATTATCCTTGCGATTCACTTTGTCCAACAAATTCCAAATTTGTTCGAAAGGACTTATTTCTGGATGTTTTGGGGGTGTACGCAGCTGTTTAAAATTATAAAGAAGCCATTGTTTAACGAGATACGTGTTGTTTTACGGATAAGTGTTGCTTCAGCAACAAAACAATTTCTCATCTAGCCCACTATACTTTACCACACCATACTTTACAGTTAGAGTTATATTTTTTAAGTTTTTGGCCAAGACCAATGTCTTTCTCCACAATTGGTGTTCACCATCCAATTCAAAAATGTTGTATTGATATCCGTCAGTCCATACCACATTATTTCAAAGCGAACCTGACTGATTTGCATATCTTTTAGCAAATCGTAGGCTCTTCTCTCTGTTGACTTTCGATTCTAACGTATTTTTTGCGGGGTTCGTGCGTTATACCCATGGTTCTAAACAAATTTCGAATTTTTTGAGCACGTACAATGACCATAGCGCTTCGGAATGCTTCCTTCTGTTTTTTGAAGGCTTATTACTTGGGGTCCGCTTTTACTCCAGTCAATATTTGGCGTTCAATTCTTGCGGTCAGTATTTTTGGACGGCCAGAGCTAAGCTATGCTTGTAAAGTTTCCATATGAAATTTTAAATGTTTTTGCACTCAATGGATCCCTAAAAACTATTTTGACAATTTCATGAATAATTTTGTCTTCTACATACAGTTTAAGGATAATTCAAACCCGTGACCCATAATGACTATTCCCTGTTAAATTTGCAATAGAAATAATATTACAAACCACAAAATTACAAGCAGGAAAGAAGAATGTACGTAAACTTTTTTGGTGTGAATTGCAGCCATTTCTTCCTTTTTGCGAGGCTACTGCGTCCCATACAGATATTTCGTAGAATTTTTTGGGGTAGACTAAAATAAAATAGTGTCCTTAAATATAAGGTAATCAAAAAACAAGGAAGAATGTATGTTAAATAGGATTTTTTAAAACAAAAAATGTATTTTTATTAGGTGTACTTAAAGTTTTTTGTCCACTGTGTGTACATATATACATACATGACTGTACAAATGGCCATTCTATACATACATACATACAAATGCATGCATGTGTGTACTTTATTTATTTTGCAACGCATTAACCCATATGTACATAAATACAAATACAATTTATAAACAACAAGAACTTCTTTGATAATAATCACTTACTTTTGGCTCCTCAGCCGACATCATTTGAATACTTTCACAGTCCATATCAATTTCAAAAAGTCAATGGTCAAATCAACTTAAAAATTCGACAAAAACAGACGCTGCTCAATGCCTAATCAAGTGTGACCGTTTACTAAAGTTATACTTTTAAAAATACCAAGAAACACCGTTTCTTCAATCAATATATTTCGGCCTAAGGTCAGTACGCACATGAACATAAATTTTGCCGCAAACAATCAGGGGTGCCACAGAAAACTCCAGAGGTTTCGGCTACAGTTGTTTTTGAAAACTCACAAAATATACGTCGGTGCAACAGAACATCGATAGATTTAATTTAAAGCTATGAGACACAGCTGACTGTCGACGCTTACATTTGACTGACTAATTCTGTAAAGTTCCTGTAACAGCTGACTGTCGACGAGTACATTTGACCGATTAATTGTATTTAAATTCTGTAACGTACTAAATTAAATAGAAAACAAATATACCATTTGCATTAATATTAGCCCGCGAGCATTTGCGGAAACGCCAATTAATTGTAGAAAAAACACAACACGAATGCCTAAGAAGCGCATCTGAACCCACAACAGAATGTTGCTTATTAAGAATTAAATTTGTTTACCATATTTTATATATATATATAACATATAACATCATTTGGAATTTCGCGCAATTACGGCGCCTTCTTCCATAAATTGGGCGAAAACTGCGTCCTGTTGTGGGGATTTATGTTTAGCAAATATAAGCATTTGAAATTGAATTCAGATATTACAAACATATGCATACATTTGGTTTCCCTGGTCCGTATTGTATATTCAAATGACAGTTTATTATCATTCACATTTACACGCAGACCATCTCAATCGGCGACACAAAATTTACGCCAAGTTTGTTTAATTAATACACAGTTAAAAATTTTATTTTTAACTTTCGTTTGACTTACAACTTTAGACTTATCTCAGCAAAATGTGATGTTCGAAAAATGTTATGTTCTATTTGGGCCAATGAGGCATCTCTATTGTGCGGTTGTTGTGAATGCTGGTTTTAAGTATACATTTGGTAATTTGCTAATTTAATAATATTTACGTAGGATATGCAAAATATTTTTGATGCAGGTTGTTCAGAAAAACTATAAGGCTTATATTCCAATGATTATTTTTATTTGGAAAAATGAGTATGTTAGTGTTTTTAATCAAAACTCCTAGCAAAGCCAACAAGAGTTGAAACATCCCAATTGGTTTAGAGGTGAAACTATTTTGGAACCTCGAGATGACATACCAAGTTTGGTTCAGTTTGGGCGACTATTTCATGTAGCTGCCATATAACCGATATGGCCGATTTTCACTAACTTCAGTATTTTTAACTCTATCAAACCAGAAACCGGCCTATATTTTTATCCCGTGCAATATATTTCAGATCACAATACACGCAAGCCTGCCAAGTTAAATTCTGCGCAAGTCTATTTGGATGGTTCCGAAGCTTAAACTGGTACTTTGCTTACACCTTGGCGATTTCATCTTTAATATATCCAGTGCTGCCATTTTAGCTTGTTTCCCGCTAGATCTGGCTTTATTTTTAAAGCCAGTGCGGGAAAAATTCAAAAATTGCGGGTTGCGGGAATTCTAGCTTTAAAAAAAATTATTTAGCCTTTTTCTAGCTTTACTTTATTTTCACCATATATTTTGTCCCCTTTATCTTTGTCAACACTGAAAATCATGAATATAAGTAGCGATAAGCGACTTTCGATAATAAACTCGATCAAAATCACCTTGATGCTCGATTATTAACTGTTTGTGTGCAAATTTGTCTTCATTGAATTAAGAAATGTCTAAATTATACAAACAAAATGTTCGCGAGGTGTGGCTGCAGAGCGCCGAGTTTAAAGAGTGGCTCCGCAAAGATATTACGGATTCCGCAAGGTCTTACTGCAGCTACTGCAAGTGCGGGTTAACTGCAAAGCTTTGCGACCTGCGTGTTAACGCGGCAACCAAAAAACATAGGGGTGCACGAAGTGGCTTTGCACAAAACAAAAATTGGTTTTGGGCAAACGCCAACAAAAACAAATGAGCAAGAGGTAGCACTTTGCCTCTTTGTAACAAAGCACACTGCAATTGCTCCCATCGACCATCTAGGCACCCTTTCCAAAACAACAGCGATACCGCGTCTAGAATTAAGCTGCATCGCACTAAATGTATATACATTACTAGCAGGTATTGCCCGTCTTAACCCGGCTCAATATAATGTTTCCAATTGTATTTATTTTGTGTGTGCATAACCTACCCATATGTTTTCACCTTATAAGTTACCAGTAGGAAGGCATTTAAGGTATTTAAATGAACATTTTCTGTTCTTGACAAAAAATTGTTCAGTAGTCCGTTACATTTTTGTTCTTGCCAAACTATTTCGTTAAACGAACATGACCACTATAACTAATATTTTTTAAAGCTCGTTTTCCCCCCTTTGGAGCTAGAATTTTCCAAAAGCCTTTCTTAGTGTGCTCCTACACTATGATGGATACTATGAAAGGATACTTGAGTCCAAATTTCATCTTTTACCGTTTGGGCTGTGCGTTGATCACCAATTAGTCAGGACAAACTGTTTTATATATAGAGATAACGCAACGTTTTAAGATAGACGATTTGCAAAAAAGGGAGAATAATTATAAGGGTATATCCTAATTTTAAATTCACATTTGAGCATTTTCGTGCCTTATTGAGTCAATACGGTCACGCACAAACTCGGAATATGAAACACGGCACTCGTGTCAACGCCGTGCAGCGATAAGCCACGATCAAAAAGCACTGACAATTCTCATCTGAATTTGCTAGAGTAAAACTTTCGATAGTTGAAGCCACCGATACCATCAAAATATCGAAGTTTGAATGCAATAAGCAGAATATTTAAATAACAAAATCCAATTATTTATTGACATCAATAAGAACAAATCATATACATACATACATCTGCCCGCAATGCGAAGCAGAATATGCGTAGCTCCGTTATTCGGTTTCTGCTTTACTATCGCTTACGCAGTCGTTGCCTAGCGACGGTAACTGTTAACTTTTGGCGTTTTGCCTTTGCAATTAACATTAAATGGTCACAACGAAAGAAGAAGAGCGAGCCAATGACTTGCAGTTGTTGTTGTTGTTTTGTATGTACATGCTACATACATATACAGGCATACATGCATATGCATGTACATATGTATGTATGCATGGGCACACATAGACACGAACTGTTGCTTGTTGTATGTATGTGTGAGTGTGTGTATGCGATGTCCCCAACTATTTGATATTTGATATATGGCAAGTAAAAAACATATTGCTATATTTTAATCGTTGAATGCCAATTTGTTCATATAGTTAGGTTGATTACATTACCCAAATTTGAAATCGATCGGACAAAATTTATAACACAAACTATTCATTTGAAAAAGTGAATAAATATTAAAACCCCAATAATAAAATTAAATGCGATATATCGAAAATATCGATACTTGTGTTGATATATCGTAATACATGTCGAATACAAATACATCGAAAAACATCGTTTGAGAGTTATTGATTATAATACTGTATTCGATTGTTCACTGTACACATACATACATACATACATACATACATACAAATGTATTTGTGTGTGTGTACGGTAACTGTAAACTTTTGGCATTTTGCGTATGCAAACAACAACTTGTTGTTGTTGTTGTTTTAAAAATTTTGATTTGAAAACATAGAACACTATTTATTACAATTAAACAACAGTGTTCGATGGCCCACTGCATACATACAAACCTATATATGTATATAAGAATGTATGTACATACATACTTATTGATGTACATATGTACATACTATACATACAGACGTATGTACATATGTATGTACATATGTAATACATATGGTGCTGGTGTAATTCATAATGCGAAATTCTTTCTAAGGGGAGCAATGTCCCCCCTGCCCAACCATCGTACGCCCTTGTAGTCCGTTGTCCTAAAAACGCCTTATGCCAAATGTACTAAACAAAGAAAAAATTACATAAAAATGTTTATGTTATAATGTTAATAATTTTTAATTAATTAACATTTTTTGCCCTGTCAGTGCAAGACGAATGTACTTTTATACATATGTATGTATGTATGTACATACATGTGTACAAATGAACATTCACACATTAGTGTCTCACATTTTGCTTTGGCTACTTCAACCGTTTGCACGCAACTACACGAACAGCTGCTTGTATGTATGTATGTGTGTGTGTGTGTATGTATACTTAGTTGTCCCCAACTGTTTGATATTTTGTATTGTTTGTTCTGCCTGCATTTGTAAAATGCATATTTTAAAAATCGTTAAATGCAAAGTTGTAATTTTAGTTACGTAGATTATATTACCCAAATTTGAAATCGATCGGGTTAAATTTATAACACAAACTTTTCATTTGAAAAAATGAATAAATATTAAAACCCCAATAATTCAAGCTCCAACACAAATTTCGAACCGAGTATGCAGTTTTGTTTGTATTCTTTTATAGATTATAAAAACCGAATTTAAAGTTGATCGATTCAGAAATGCAGAATTTTCAAACAAACTTTGGAGCTACTTTTCCGCCCTTTGGAGCTCGAATTTTCCAAAATCCCTTCTTAGTGCGCATCTACACCATGATAGGATACTTGAGCCCAAATTTCAGTTTCCTAGCTTTTACCGTTTGGGCTGTGGGGTGTTGATTGTGTTTCAATTTTTCCACGGAAAACCCCCCTTTTTCATGCCCCAGGAAAAATGGTGAAAAACCAAGTATACAGTTTTTCTTGTATTCTTTTTGAGAGTGTACAAACTAAGTTTAAAGTTAATTGGATGAAAATTGTAGATTTTTCATACAAACGTTGGAGTCCGTTTTCCCCCGCTTCTTAGTGCCCACCTACACTACTGAAGACAACATGTGTCCAATTTTCAGCCTCCTAGCTCTTACCGTTTGGGCTGTGCGTTGATTGCAGATAGCTTTTCGTTTACCGAATTTTCCACCGGAAAATCATTATTATTCAGGCCGCAGGAAAAATATTGAAAATCCAAGTAGACAGTTTTTTTTGTATTCTTTGTGAGAGTATACAAACTAAGTTTGAAGTTAATCGGATAAAA